ATCCGAGAGCGACAATATATCTAATCGACAATACTGCAGTAAAGGATCAACTCGCAAAACAAATCTAACAATCAATTATATCTTAACAAATCACACATAAAAAGAGCATGACTAATCTTATATGAAATTTGATAAATATAATTTTCAAGGTTTTCAGATCTGAAAATAATTAATAATCTCCCAAAAATAAAATTAAACAATAAAATCTATGAAGGAATCAAAATAAAATAACAAGTCAAATTCCTCAATCAAGATCCTCCCTACTCTTGTTGAAAGTTTAGTTGCTCTTTAACATAATTCTCTACTCTTGAAGAAAAAAATAGAAGTCTGGTAGCAGCCTCTCCAGCCCTCGAACCCCCTCTAAAATAACTTGGATGGGTATTTATAGAATCCTAGAAACCCTAATTAGAATGGCTGTGGGGCCCACATCACAATAATTAGGACAGATATGATTTGGCTGAATTATTGCGCAAGGGGTCGATACTCTTTACAAGGTGCTGGCACTTTGAGCAGAGCGTCAACTGCATCCTCCGTGTCAGGTTTTTGGCCTTTTGTGCAATTTTGGTTAATGGCAAAACAACAGTCTTGGTCCCTGACTCCTAGATTCCACGCGAGTTGATCATCATATTTCTGATCTTTGCAATTTGTTGCTTGCATTTAAGTCCTTTTTCTAATTCTTCTCCATTTAACATCAACCTTCAATCACCATAAAATTTGCACAACATGAATAAAATGAATACTTATGAAATTACCTATAGAAAAATAAAACTCTTAAACCCATAATTTCACAAATGTCAATGTTTAAGCACACTTTAGATGTACATTTTCATGCTTTCATCACTAGAGCTACTCCAGTTGAGGATGTCGAGGAAGTGCATATTGACGACAGAGGTCTAAGCAGAAAGACACAAATTGGAACTCGGTTGAGCCTGAAGGAAAGAGCAGAGCTAATAGCTTTTCTCCAAGCTAACAACGATGTCTTCGCTTGGACTTCGGTAGACATGCCAGAAATTCCAACCTCGGTACCCAGCATAAGCTCAACACCAATCCATTGAAGAAACCAATAGCCTAGAAACGACGTCTCTTTAGGGGGGAGAGGCTGTATGTTATAAAAGAAGAGGTAGAGAAGCTCTTACAAGCTGGTTTCGTCAAAAGAGTTGATTACTACGAATGGGTGGTTAACCCAGTGTTGGTTTAAAAGGCAAATGGTAAATGGCGAATGTGCATCGACTACACAAATCTCAACCAAGCTTGCCCCAAGGACTGCTATCCGATGCTAAGCATTGACAAATTGGTTGAAGCGGCTTCTGGAAATGATAGATTAAGTCTCTTGGATGCATATTCTGGTTATCACCAGGTGCCGATGGCTCTGGAAGATGAAGAGAAAACCTCGTTCTATGCTGGTGACGAAATTTATTGCTATGTCATGATGTCATTTGGCTTAAAGAACGCAAGTGCTACTTACCAGAAAATGGTGACCATCGTCTTCCGAGCTAAGATCGGCAAGAATCTAGAAGTTTATGTCGATGACATTGTGGTAAAGAGCTTGAAAGCAGAAAACCATCTAGCTGATCTCGTTGAAACTTTCAACAACCTCAGAAAGAACAGAATGCGGTTAAACTCAACCAAATGTATCTTCGGTGTGGAGTTTGGGAAATTTCTAGGCTTCATGGTTTCCCAAAGAGGGATTGAGGTCAACTTAGAAAAGATCAAAGTAATTGCCGAAATGGAACCGCCAAAGTCGGTGAAAGATATATAGAGATTAACTAGAAGGGTGACAACTCTTCGTAGATTCATATCGAAGTCGGCAGATAAGTGCCTGCCATTCTTCAAGATCATGAGGTCAGCAGCCTAGAAGGACGAATCTGGCAAACAGAAGAAGTTTGAATGGAACCAAGAATGCCAAGCTGCATTCGATGAGCTGAAGTCTTATCTTAGCTCACCACCCCTACTGACTAAGGCTATGGATGGAGAAATTCTCTATTTGTACCTCGATATTTCAGATGAAACAATTAGTTCAGTTTTGGTGAGAGAAGAAGGCAAACACCAGCAACCAATTTATTATATCAACAGCGTGTTGCACAGAGCAGAACTGAGGTACCCTACTATTGAGAAAGCAGCACTAACAGTTGTCATTTCAGCCACAAAATTGAGACCGTATTTCCAGTCACATCCAATCATAATCCTCACAGACCAACCTCTTCAATAGATCCTTCAGAAGCCAAAGTGTTCCGAAAGGTTAATTAAGTGGGCAATAGAACTGGGGGAATTCGCGATAACATTTCAGTAGAGATCTGCGATCCAAGCTTAAGCATTGGCAGATTTTATCGTGGAATGCACCCCATGTCACTCAATCCCTAACCCTAAGCCCAACGACTGGACCTTATATGTTGATGGAGCATCTGGTAGCAAGGGTGCAGGAGCTGGTGTTTTCTTAATTGGCCCAGATAGATACCAAAGTGAGCATGCTCTGAAATTTAACTTCGATGCAACAAACAACATCGCTGAGTATGAAGCTCTGCTACTTGGTTTGCAACTAGCATTGGAGCTGAAAGTCATAGCGATAGAAGTATACAGTGACTCGCAGCTTGTGGTTAATCAAGTCAACTCAATCTGCGAAGTTGTTGATCCTGTGATGATGACATGTATAGCCTTGGTGGCCGACCTAAAGTGCAAATTCTAGAAATTTTGTCTAAACAAAATTCCCTGAACTGAGAATGAACATGCATATTCACTTTCTAAGTTTGCCTCTGATAGCTCTTTAAGCTCCAAATCAGTTTTCGTGGAAGTTTTAGATGAACCAAGATTCATGAAGCCACAAATGATGGAGATCAGCACAAACCTAGATACATATAGCTGGACTAATCCAATTATCTCATTTTTAGAAGACGGGACAGGACCTAAAGACAAGCAAGAAGAAATGAGGTTGAAGAAGAAAGCGTCTCGATATACACTCATCAATGGGGTTCTCTATAAAAGATCTTTCTCACTCCCTCTTCTACGGTGCTTGAATCCCTATGAAGTTGAGTACACACTTCAGAAAGTGCATGAAGGTGTCTGTGGGAGCCACATTGGTGCTAGAACCCTGGCTCACAAAGTCCTCAGGCAGGGATATTACTGGCCGAATATGTATAAAGATGATATTCACTTTGTTCAGAGATGCCCGAAATACCAATTCTTCGCACATTTGACTCACCAACTAGTAGAAGTGCTCACGAACTTGGTAGTACTGTGGCCATTTGCTCAATGGGGACTTGATCTTTTGGGCCCATTCATGAAAGGGGTTAAAGGTGTAACCCATTTGATTGTTGGAGTTGATTATTTTACGAAATGGGTTGAAGCTTGGCTATTATTCAGTCTTACTTCCAAAAAGGTCGAAGACTTTGTTTTTGGGTCAATTATCTACAGATATGGGATTCCGAACCAGATTGTGGCCGACAATGGTACTTAGTTTAACTGCTCCTCCTTCTAAGATTTCTACCCCAGTTACGAGATCAAACTACAATTCACCTCGGTTTATCATCCGGAGTCCAATGGTATGGTAGAATCTGTTAATAAAGCTATTTTAGAAGGAATAAAGCCGAGGTTGAAACAGCACAAGGCCAAGTGGGCAGACGAGCTCAACAATGTTCTTTGGGCATATAGAACTATGAGCCGAACTGCCACAGGTACTATTTCCAACCCAAGATACTTTCATTCGACTTTTATTTTCTCACCTACGGCTGTACCCTAGATCAAATATGCATAATATGTAAATCATATTCTAAAGACTATAATTTCATGAAATAGGTGAAACACCTTACCACCTGGCCTTTGGTATCAAAGTAGTTATTCCTATTGAAATAGGAGTCATAAGCCTCTGGGTCACCTATTTCGATGAAGGACGAAATGGACAACTACTTCAGGAAAACCTTAATCTGCTTGCTAAAGTCAGAGAAGAAGCACAATTTCGAACTCTTGTATACAAGCAGAAATTAGCCAACTTCTACAACAAACAAGTTTGCCCTCAAACATTCAAAGTAGGAGACCTTGTTCTCAAAAAGGCTGGCCTAATAGGGTTTGAAACTCGTTTTGGCAAATTGGCCCCAAACTAGGAAGGCCCTTATATAGTGGCCGAAGTGCCACATTCTCGTGGCTATGTCCTCCAAGATGCGGAAGGGAAGAGAGTTCCTAGAGTCTGGAATATTAATAACTTGAAGAAATTTTACCCCTAATAAACTTCTTTCAAGTGATCTATGTCTTATTCTCCTTTATACTTATTACTTCTTGATTGTTGAGATTCATTTTATCTCTTATTCTGTATATCCGAGGTCAATTTGTTAGAATTTATTCCTTGAACTTCACTTTTATTAATGAATGCCACTTCACATACGAAGTGATTTACTTCTTTTCAGTTCATCTCTGAAGTGATTGACTTCTTTTTAATTCATCTCTGAAATGACTTACTTCCCCTCAAGTCATATCTGAAGTAATTTACCTTATCTCAGTTCTTATATTAATATAAAACAACCAAAATGTAAATCATGTATTACACATATTTATAAACACAAAATTTTTCATTCCAAAACAAATAATAAAATTACAATTTATTCAATTGTTCCAACGATATCAGAAAAGAAAAACCAAAAAAACAAGAATTCTTTATTCCTCTGCTAGAGGAGGTGGCTGAGTTGGCTGTTGCTCGACTGGAAGAGGTGGCTGCTCATCATCAGAAGGAACTAGATGGACTTCCACTTGCAGAGATGGCTAACTTTCATCCACTTCAGCTCCTCCTGCTCCTACTTCAGTCTCCTCTACCTCTGCCTCTTCTTCCTCCATTGCCACGAACTCGAAGTCGAAATTTGGAGGGAAAATGGTACGTCCTTTTGCTTCCCGATCCCATCTCAGCTTAATCTAAGGACGGAAGTCTGTTGATATGCTCTCACCATTTTCCTCTACTCCTTGCTCTTGTTTGCCGAAGGTGATCTTCATAATATCCACTTCAGGATATTCAGCTTTCACCTTCTTTCTGCAGTCTGTGAAGGCAATGATGGCAGTTGGCAATCGATAGAGGTTGACGATGTTGTCAAACGAGCTGGAGTTGACGAAGTTGCTGATGTGTTCCTCCATCCTGTTGTGTACCAGTAGCTGCACATTCTTCTTCAATTCCACCACAGCTTCCTTCATTGCTTTTATTTCTTTCTCATAAGCCTCACGCTTGCTTTCAGAGATTTTTCGTTTTTTCTCCTCAAAGACGAGCTTGGTACTCAGAGAATCCCTCTCCTGCTCAAGCTACTTCACTGTTGGTACCACCTCGTCTAACGCCTTTTGCATGTCTTTATTTTTCTTTTCTAGCTCTTCCTTCTCCTTTTGCAGCTGGTAACGCTGCCTTTGCAAGAGGGAGCGATCCTTCACACTCTCCATGAACTCCTGGGCTAGACCATTCACCCAACACGCACTTTGCAATTCAAGCACAAGTAAAAAAAAAAACAAAAACAAAAACACCAACAACTACAAACAAATCAACTTAGCATACCTCCAGGGCATGCTTCACCACAGTTGCCTTACAATATCTCAAAGCTTCGTCCTTTGCTTGACACTTGTCCACTTCGGGGAAGGTTGCATTGATAAACCTCCTTGCCCCCTTCACGTTCTTCGCCTCAAACAGACTGCTCTGAAAGGACAATGGGGGAACAAGGCCTTTCCCTTTACCAGGAGCCCGTGCCTTAGCCCCCTCAGCCTCAGACTCCTTAAGCTCAGGGTCGAGCTCAACAGAAGGAGGTCGAGGTACGAACTGTAGAACCTTGCTCCCCCTCACCTCCTCCTCCACCACCTTCTTCTTCCTTTGTAGCGTTCCCACCTTCTCATTGCCTTTCCTTTTCAGCTCCAACCTTGGCACCACCTCCTCCACTCCAGCTGAGGTGCTGGGCACTAACTCTTTCCCAGCTCCTCCCTCCCCCGCTTCCTTGGTTGAAGTCTTTGACTTCTCCCTCG